AGTAAGGGTTCCCCTTTACGTAAGAAGGCGACATCTAGGAGGCAGTACTGGAGGAGACCCAAACGTTCAATGTCCCAACCCAGAAACCTCTTATCTCTGACCCCATCTGGAGAACCACTGGAGAAGTCCGCAACGGAGGAGAAACATCCCCACTTCGACTCGAGCCTTTGACGAATCAACTCCTCTTAAACTCTGACCTCTGTTACTGTTGTTGGTGTGTGACTGTGAAAATAATAAGTCCAGTGTTCGTGAAGAAAGGTCTGATTCTCTCCATCACCTTATTTTACGAATAACCGGCTATACGGAAGTTGTGAATGTGAAATGTACAGCACAAGGACGAATAATGGGGTGGATAAGGAGACGGGAAGAGGGTAGAAGGTTAGCGTGGGCTGCGTAGTTATTCAGTTAAGCGTAGTCACCAATCACGTGGTGGTGAACGCGCGAGAGGATACTGTGTCCTGAATGTGTCGACGTGTTTTGGAATAGATCTGCGCAGTGTTCCTGGATGAAAATGTGCCGTAATTATTTATGATATCGCGGTATACCTGTTGCTTGTGAACAAAAACCGAAAACTATGCCTCTGATGGACACCTGTTGGTCTCCCTGGCTTCATTATACTGACATCAAGGAAGCTTCTAAGGCTGTTGCGGGATATACGTTGGTACGTGACTTTTGCTTTCAACCTGCGTGGTTTTTGATAAATCTGCTATGTATTACGGTTAACAGGCCATCAGCGTTATCGGAATTGTTTACTCCGTTTACGTGATGCTGGGGGGCGTTTCTTCAGAATTCTTTGGACCACTGTTCGAGACCGATACGAGGAACAGTGAGTTCATCGCTTTTATATTGCAGGAATTTCGGTGACTTGTTTGTTTTTCAGCTGCGAAGTACGCCGGAGGATTTTTGATAGTTTTCTGCTTGTTTTACATTGGATTCTCTATTCTAATGATGTTCGGAATTTCAAGAGAAATACGTGGATTCATCCTGCCATGGATGATCCAAACTGTACTTTCCATCATGAGTATCACGGCATTTGGTCTCTGGGTTTTGTGCTCTTATTACACAAACGTAAGTCGTCATTGCTGTCTACTTCATCGTTGGTGCTTCCATGTATCCTTTCTTGTTTCAGCTCTGGTCTGTGTTTGTCTTCATAGTGATCATGTTGTTCAGCGCGTTGAACGTAAGTTGTTCCTCTGATATGTGTCAGGCATTTTTTTCTCACGGCCTATATTTTATTTTCAGATATATTGCTACCTGTGTATTTATTCTTTTTACCGAGAAGTGAGGAAATTCCAGAAGCCCAACATCGTTCCTATTTGGGATGACGAGTTGGAATATTGAGAGGCACGTAAACGAGAGCTAATTGCGAACGGGAAATTTTTCATTATCTGTGACAAGAAGGTAATTTGACGAAGATGTTCATTCCATCATGTTACATGTATACTTTTATATATTTGTTGGGAAACATGGTGAGTAAAAAATGCCGCCCAAAATTTTGTTATAGTTTTTCAGTGAACTTCAGCTTTCATTTAGCAGCATTCATTATGTGAATCATTGAATAAAAAGATGCTTTTGGCGTTGGTTTTAAAAATGTGAAATGTGGTTTTGTGAAGCGTAGTTCAAAAAACAAAATTTCTTTAGCAGGATCAGTGCGAATTCTTTGCTATCTTTACCCTCGACGAGTGTTTATCATGCAGTGGCAATATAAAGATCAGCATCCCTTCGAAAAACGGCAGCAAGAAGGAGAGAAGATTAGACGAAAATACCCGGACCGTGTCCCAGTGAGACCGTCGCAACTCTCGTACTCGTGTTTATTAGTATAATACATCGTTATTTCATCTTCCAGGTGATTGTGGAAAAAGCCCCGAAAGCTCATATTGGAGACCTCGACAAAAAGAAGTATCTTGTCCCTTCGGATCTAACCGTCGGACAATTCTACTTCTTGATCCGGAAACGAATATCTTTGAAACCTGAAGATGCCTTATTCTTCTTTGTAAACAACGTGATTCCGCCAACTTCGGCGACCATGGGGTCTTTGTATCAGGTTAGTACAGTACTGTAATCCAATATGTTATGATAGTGAGTGCAATTAGAATATCATTCAATCACGCTCAATAGAGGACGCTCCGTTTTTCTGTTCGTAAATTTAAGAACATCAGGATATTTTATTGATTAGCATATACTGTAAGTGCTTCTTCGTAATGTCATCTAGAAATACGTACTTGCTGAAATGATTTAGTCTGTCAGTTCCTAGAATGTAGTCTGAATTAGTGAATTACTGTCGGAGATAGTTTAGCAAATTTTCTTTCCAAGTTTTCTCAAAATGGCGTGTCTGTGAGTACAAAATTTTTTTTTCAATCGAGTTTCTGGGTTTACGAGTATCTTTGAAAAAATTCTTGCCTTGAAATTAAATCGACTGTGGATTTGTTCAAATAGATGGGACCAAAGTCATTATGCGTCTTCTCTTCGCAACGGGGTGTTCAAAATTTTACGTTCACATCGACCTCTGAATTAATATTTCGGTATCTCATTTCAGGAACACCGGGATGAAGACTTCTTCCTCTACATAGCGTACAGCGACGAAAGCGTTTACGGGAACTATTGACTTCGTTGGCGGATGTGACGTTTCATGGGAAAGAAGATTGATTTTTTTTATTTTTTATTTGAAGAATGGCTGTGGCATTGTTTTTGCTGAGAACACTTTCTTTTGGTTTTTTTTTTTTTGGATTTTTTCACAAGGTTGAATCAGTTTTCTATGTTTGCTTGTGTGTATGAAGAGCAAGATCGCGTTGATCATGCTTGTTTCTTCTTTGGGGAAAGAATTAGAAGCTGTGTTGAGTTTAGGATGATCAAATGGTCAATATTTTTCCGCTCTAGAAGTCTTTCCCTTTGTTTAACGAACTGAATTGTCAATCTGAATTTTGATGCCTAAACTTTCTGTGAGGAAAAGTCAACTCGACTTGATGTGCTCCCAATAAGCTTTTTCGGATTTCCCCTTGTCCATCCGTCGAGCATTTATGATGTAAAACGGTTTTAAAGAAGGCATGGGGTTTCCATCGCACAATTGCTCTCTAAACATTTTCGAAAATTTTCCGTAAATTCATGTGAAGTGGAAGAAATCGCAATTACAAATTTGGTATGAAATAATTGGTTCCATTTCGACTTTGATTGCGTTTATGTCCTTCGTGCTGGATTCGGAAGTTGACAATTGATTTCGTGTGAAATTTGTCGATGACTAATTTCTCGTTTTTCCGGTGTGCTTCGCTGTAATGCCTGAGATAAAGAAAAAAGGTTTATAGAATTCTACTTGTCGGATTATTACGGTCATTTATTTAATCTTCAGACAATTGTGATTTTTTAACATGTAGTGATCCCTAGATCAATTTGAGACTGATTGGTTGAACCTACCCGGAGGCTTGGCTCATTCTACAGGATTTTTTTCCTAAACTACATTGAGATTGAAGGCTTCACTTGCAATAGGCTTTGTCAATTTTTCATTCATTTCTGAGAACATCTTGCGCATTATCAGCCGTTGAATTTGTCCTATGATTTTTCTAAGTTTGACCCCGTGCCTCCCAGACATTATAAATGCTTGGACAATTTTCAATAGTCCATGGTCTGTCTCCGGAAGATATGTGCAGGGTTCCTTTATGCGTTTCTCGAGGCTGAATAAAGGTGCTTGTTATACTCAATAGACCTGATGAAGTTATGCGAAAGTAGAATTTAAATTTTCTCTTGGTAGGGCGAAAATTTCGAGGCTTACGGTGTAAAATTAAATCTGGGAAGTATGATGTTTTATTCAAAAACGAGGAACTTCAGAAACCCCGTGGGTTCCTTCGTTGTGCGGCATAAAGCATACCGTTCATAAAATACTTCGTACTGTAGAGTGTAGACCACTCCTCTCCTCTGTCGAACTTCCAGGTGTCCGCTGTAAAAATTTATTTTTGTGCTTTGAAGATGTCGCTGGCATCAAAGTTCAATCAAATTTCACAGCATCAGTTTCTCCTGTTCGCCCGAATGCAGATGGTCGAGTGACCAGCAGCAGTTTGTACAAATCCTGCGCTGTACCAGCTGCAGCATTCGCATGGACTCATGCTACGCGGGCGTCAAGACAAAGGAAAGTACTGTACGATGAATCGTCGCCATTGTCGGAACAGGGAGATTAGAATACTGTATAGTACTGCTTTCAAACAGTGTGCGTAGGAGCTGAAGACAAAACACAGAAGAATGACTCTTTCGGGACTGACGAAGCGGATTAATTGCTCAGTCACCGTGCAGCTTTGTACGGCGCTTCGACCATAACGCGTCCTTCACGTGGAGACAGTTGTGAATCAACCTTGAAACCCACCGAACTTTTCAAGGACTGCTGGGGTTGAAGAATTTCCAAGAGCTGACTATGTCGTTAATACAATACATACATACCGTGTAACATCTTCGGAAGTATGATGCATCATACAGTATAACCATGTCGGTATCTCATTTCCGTCACTTGTGATGTGGGTTAACTTTCGGTGTGGTTGGTACACAATTCTTCCAGTTAAGTAAAGAACGTTTGAACTAGAAAAATAATTAACATAATCCAAAATGTGAGGGAAATGGGTACCAGCAGTTTATGCGACATCTAACCGGGATTCCTGCGTCTACTCTCCTGTTCGAACATGACGCAGTGCCGCTGCTGCGTTTTTTAGACCATCCATACTCGCAGCAGATCTTTACATACAGTATTAGCATCTTATGAATTATAAAATGGAATTGGTGATCGAATTAGATTATATATTTATAAAATTGAATCAGTTAAGTAACAAGGGTAAAATAGAATGGGAGGGAATTTTGTCAGAACGGATCAATTGGCATTAGGAAAAATAGAGTACAGTACTTCATCTTAAATTCGGAATGCACCTTACTGTAGCGTTCATCTGAAAAAGAGAATTTTGTAAAAGCTTGGTCCTAATCCCGTATTCTGGTATATTATATTTAAAAATTAGCTCATGTTAACTAGACTACTAGAGTACCATCTTTTTCAATATGTATGCGATGGGAAATGAGTACTGTGCGTACAGTGATTAATCCTTCTGTAGAATTTGCGATGCAAATTGAAGCAATAAAAAAAGGAGAATTCGAGACAGCTGTTATTCGTGCTTCATGTGAGGGGAAGCTATTTAGATTCTGGTTGTAGGGATACTTTTGATAGGCAGTAACTGATTTTTTTGTTCATTTTTCCCTTGTGCAGCATTGAACTGTCGGATAGAAGTCATAAAATAAAAATGACACAGCATCATATACAGTACAATACTAATTTACTGCACGTCGATGTAACTTATTCAATTTAGCTGGTGGTTTCTCCAGGGTGTGAAAGAAAAAAAAAAAAAAAAAAAAAACCAGTCTGTTGAAGACAAACCATCAGAAATTCTGCACGCACTCCACTTTTACAGAAGTGCGGATGCATGCATTGTGTAGCAGGTCATTTTTGGCGTTCCTTTTTTGGCAGGGAAGCGATATCAAAGTGACACCGAACACTTTTGGGGAAGAGCTGGACTTTACCAAGAATATAAGAGCTGACTGTGTACAATACAAGCTAGAGGCGATTCACTTTGCGACCAGCTTAGACGAGGCTGAAATTCAATGATCACTGGGCGGGTGTGCAAATTGGCAAGTCCAAGGTGATGGATCAGGGAAGAACGGCACTCTTCCACCCACCAATCTTGGGATTTTCGCCAGGCACCCGTGGGTACAGGAACGCGTAAACATCCGGGCGAGTCTAAGGCACTCCAATTTCCCCCTCACCCATCTCCACGCCTTCCCTCATCACTGACCGTACCAAAGCTTGGACAGGCTATTCTTCGGAGAAGCTCCATAGCAGCCACTCGGCTGCTGGTACATGCATACTTCACAAAAACACTGAGGGTATGAAAATTAAAATTTAACATCTAAAATGTATAAATATTTTACATCAATTGTGGAAGCATTTTACCAGAAATCATCTAAAAATATGCTTCTCAGGAAATGCAGGATTGATGAACACGTTTTTTATTTGCATATGGACAAGTACATTACAGCAGACTTGGTTTCTTTCTAATGAAATAATGTACGTACATCACCTATATAACCCATCCAAATGAAATGGATGAATGGAAAGTATTCAATCTTCTATAATATCGAATTTTTAGGGTGAAGACCTTCTGAGTTAAATAGGTAGACACTTTCTACAAAAATCTTGGCTTCAACAATTTTTTCTGAGCAACAAAATTGTTGATGGTAGTCCCACAGGGTTCTTCCCACATGTTTTAGTGGTTCTTAAAAAAAATTTCTTCAAACAACACATTTTTTTGTGGCTCCTTGAATTGTGTGCATGGTAGAGTTAGTCCCCCTGTATTAAACAGGAAAATTTGGATGCAATTCATAAGAGCTATTGCTCACCTTTGAACTTTGAAACAGCTCTTGCAATTTTTGCACAAATCCACATTTCCTTGAATATTTCTTGTTGTGGCCTACTGTGGAGTGGTTACAGATTAATCTGCAGTATTCAGACCATTGCCAGCAGATTCTGTTGATTATTTTTTTCTTCAAGTGTTCCTCATTGCTCAACATGCAGGAATTCAACATGGATGATAAGGGAGATAAAGATACATTCCAAAATTATACCAACTGAAAAAATACATATGATCTTTTCATTCCCTTGAAAATGTTTAGAATATAAATTCCAGTTGTGATTGATGCTGTGAACAAATTCCAACAGCAACAAGCTGAGATCACCATGTCTGTTTTCATGCAGCTCAGTCACACCCCGACCAGCTGAAATCCCCATTTTATGACGAATTTCAGCCAAGCGAAACAGCATTAATGATCAGCTCCGCAAATGGAAAAAATGAATGCAGGACTCCGGTTACAAAACTCCCACGCTACGCACTAGCGCACAAGCATGTACTGTACTGTAAACCCTCTGCTGGACCAGCCGATTCCCCATATCTTTCCTCCCCATTCGCCCGAGTTTTTCGCCGCGTGTGCGATCACCCTTGGGGGGAGTGGGAGAGAGCTGCGCCCCACTTTCACTTCGGGCGGAATGAATTTAGGGACTGTGACGATGGCAGGGAGGGGGAAACAAAATAAGGAAGGGAGACTGTTTGGAGGAGAAACGGTTTGATTTATATTCTGAGTTCCTGGAGTGGGGTGGTGTGGTGGGATTCCCCGAAACGGTGTCAGCAAAATGTCAGTTACCCAAAAGACCAAAAGCATGCTGCCACACGATCAATAGGTGCTGTACACCAGGAAGCCCCAAAAAATGGCCTTATAATTTATTCCACAATCATGGCCGTTTTGAAGCAATATTTGTGCGTAGTATCAATGAATATCATTTGAAAGTTAATTCTAGCAAGCCATACATTCATTGACGTTTTAATATATAAACTGAATCAGAAAATCAAAAATTATTTTCAAATATAAAAGAATAACTTAATGTACAAGCTGAAAGTGCAAACCTTAGTGATGGAGGCATTTAGGAAAAATGGACTTCTATTAAATGTAGACCGACCATATCCTACACAAATTACGTGAACAGATTTTTTAGCACCACATGACGTTCAAGTAAATTAAACAAAATTCGAAGTTCAAAATATTATTAGGGAACAAATCGCGTTATTTTCTCTGGGTGTCTTTTGTGGAGGATGGTTCTTTTCTTCTGTCACCCCCCGACGCTTACACAGGCGCGAACGGGAATGTACCGCGTGGAAGCGTGGAACCCTCCTGTCCCTCCATGGAACCTTCTGGTACATAACAGTTGGAATTTCGGCCCCGAAAAACCCACGCTTTTCTTCGTCAAAGAGGGTTTATGTGTTTTGCGATGGTCAGAGGGACCTTGGAAGACGTGTTCTTTACATTTGCCGTTGATCTGAGGAATCGCGCCTCGGTGTCACAAAATCTTCTGCCGTGTATGGTACAGTTACGTCGAAAGCGGTCGCCTCGCAGTACAGCACTGCACATCGTATTCTTTTGAATATCCGTATTACAGATATATTTAAATATTAGGGATTGGAGTTATGACACTTTTAGAATGTCTGTTGAAAACATTGCTGGGAGAGTCTAGGAAGTTCACATTCTGTTGCGTTTCAAAACTGCTAATAAATCAGTAAAAGGTTTGAATCGCACAGAACTAGCCGAATTCTGTGCCCTCGAACACGTGATATGTATTAGGTTCTATTTGAGTGTTGCAATGTACAATCACACTATCAATTTATAATTTTTTATAAGTTTCCTCTGCTCAAAAGCGAATTCACTCAATTAGCCAGCAGTTAAACTTTTTTTTAA